CACCCAAACAAAGATAGTGAACGCCGTGGCGTTTAGGTGTTGAGCTGTTGGTGATGCTTGATCGGCGCATTGTGTCAGTCGAGCTCCAACTGAGGGTGATATGAGGCGGGGCAGCTCTGTGGTTTTACTTGTTGTTTATTCTGGTGTCTTTCGTTTTTGCGCGAAATATTGCGGATCACAACAGCTAGGCATCTTCGTCCGATGAAGCTCTGTTTTACTGATTGGCGTTTCATCGAATAGTGGACATTTCATCGAGCACCGCTTCATTGAACGCCAACTCATCAAGTAGCTTGATCGAATTATGTTTCTGCTATCAAATTATTGCAGATATAATAACTACGCTCGTCATATTTTGTAAATAACGGTAGTCTTTAGCGAAAATTGTGTTGCATAGTTAGTTTCGGCCGTCAGCAAATAGTGAAAAATATCTATCTACCTATCTCTCTCTCTCTCTCTCTCTCTCTCTCTCTCTATATATATATATATATATATATATATATATATATATAACGGGCATGGTGGCGGGAGGCCGAAGGCGTGGGTATAAAACTGAGAAGAAAAAAACCCTTAGTGAAAAACAGCAACAACGGACGATTTAATCTTCGACGTTTCGGCCGGAGTCCGGCCTTCGTCAGGAAGCCTGACGAAGGCCGGACTCCGGCCGAAACGTCGAAGATTAAATCGTCCGTTGTTGCTGTTTTTCACTAAGGGTTTTTTTCTTCTCAGTTTTATATATATATATATATATATATATATATACAAAGACAAAAATGCGTACTGTCAGAGTTACTAATTCGAAGTTTACTACGACGTTTCGAGCGGGGACCACTCTTCATCACCTAATGAAGAACGGTCCCCGCTCGAAACGTCGGAATAAACTTCGAATTAATAACTCCGACAGTACGCATTTTTGACTTTTATATATATGTATATATACATTTTACTAATACAATGTCTGGACATTTACACTTACCAAGTAACCATTTTCAACTGTGATTTGAGACTGTGTTGCGCTTATCCCGCTCTTATTTATTTATTTTTTGTTTCTCTTGTTTCTGGCCTTTTTAGTGTAGGCTTCCACCAGCTCGCTTGCGCGTGAACTCTAATTTCAAGTGAAACAAGTTTGTAAATTAGGGTGACACTATATAGGTTTGAAATCCTATACCAATTTTATTGCCATTTGGTGAGCCACGTACGAATTTTGAAATATATCTTTTCATCCAAATAATCGATTAGTAAATCGAATAGCGATTCGGACGAATTTACTACGACGGGAAGAACGAATTTGCAAATCTCATGGCAAATAGGAAATTTCAGATGAAGTCAAAATCAGCGCGATTGAAAGATCGTGTATCTTACGCCGCCAGGAAAAGCAAAAAGAAAAAGAGCTACAGTGTCGATTAGATTTCCTTTTAAGCGTTGAATGTGCACAACCCGGAAATTTTACGAGGGAAATAAAAGAAGTTAAAAGTAAACTGGAGCTTATCGATATCGAAAAATATAGAGGAGCCGTGATAAGAGCCCGCGCCGAACGTCTGTGGTTGGGTGAAACGCCGACGAAGCGTTCACTTGGGGACGAGAAAAGATATGCGACGCAAAATGAAATAAAAGAAATAGAGCATGGGACCGTGGTGACTCGCGACAAAAAGACCATCGAACGCGCTTTCGTGGAATATTATCAAGATCTTTTGGGTCGCCGCAGACACGTGGAAGAAGGATTTGCCAGCGTCCTTTTGCCCCTCATGCCAAAATTAGATGATGAAATTAAAGCCGGCCTTGAGGCACCGATTAGCGTGAGAGAAATAGAGAAGGCTATTGATGAACTGACTCCAGGGAAATCGCCCGGTCCCGATGGCTTAGGTGCCGCCTTCTACAAGGCTTTCAAAGCTGATGTGGCTGAGGTCCTGCACCGCACGACAACGGAGGCGTACGATAGTAAAGCAGTGCCTCCATCCTTCCGGAAAACGCATATAGTATTAATCCCCAAAAGTGATGATCCCGCGAAACTGTTGTCTGTTAAGTCCTACCGTCCCATTAGCCTAACAAACGTAGACTATAAAATCGTCATGAAGGTCTTAGCGCGAAGGCTGCAAGGTGTAATAAAATCTATCGTCGGACCCCATCAAACATGTGGCATCAAGGGGCGAACGATTGCAACTAACATACACGTAGCAAGAAGTATCTTGGAATGTTGTGATGCTTTCGAAGGTCGCGTAGCTATGTTGCAGCTTGATTTGGAAAAGGCGTTCGATAGAGTAGCACATGACGTCCTTTTTTGTATTTTAGAGCACGTGAACGTTGGGTCTTTATTGTTGGAATGGGTTAAAATGTCCTACGCGGAGTGTTATGCGAGTGTGATTGTTAATAAGAAAGTTACAGAAAGTTTTCAAGTCCTCTCCTCGGTACGGCAAGGGTGCCCATTATCGCCATTGTTGTTTGCTCTCTATTTAGAGCCTTTTTGTTTAAAACTCCTTTTTAATGAAAGAATACGCGGTTTTAGGTTGTTGTCGAGCGAAGTCAAGATACTTCCGTACGCAGACGACATTGCCGTCTTCTGCGAAGACAAAGAAAGTGTTTGCGAGGTAGTCAAAGAAGCACTTAATTTTTGTAAATTTTCGGGCAGTGTTATCAATTGGGATAAATGCGTGGGCTACTGGCTTGGTAGCTGGGAAAGTACACCAGCTGTTTTTGAAAGAGTTACTTGGTCTTGTTTGCCGGGCAGGTACCTCGGAGTGCCGCTTGAGCACTACCGCGATTCTACTGAGTACTGGAGGGAAGAAGTCGAGAGGGCTCGGGATAAAACGGCAAAGTGGGGGGGTCTAAATCTTTCAATGTTTGCCCGCTCCACAGTTTGTAATTTGTTTATCGTTGCTAAAGTCTGGTACGTGCTCCAGGCTTTGTGTATGTCTAGAGTAAGCGTTCAAAAGTTTCACCGAGTGTTCGCGAATTTTGTGTGGGGGTCGGTGTAGGAGCGCACCGGTCGTACAAATTTGTTCCGCTCTGTGAAAAGTGGCGGGCTAGGCCTGGCTCATCTATTTCTGCGGCAAGTGGTGTCTAGATTTATGTTTTTGCGGGATCAGGGGGATCCTTTTCTGCGGACTGTATTACAAGTTAGGCTCCGTAATGCATTGTCTGAGTTTGTTGTGTCCTCGAGTGATGTCAGATGTACGCGGGTTCGAGGTTTCCTGCGCGAAGTGATTTTGGCTTTCCATTTTCTCAAGGTTCGATTTTCGTTGGAGTACTTAAGCGAAGTTACACGAAAGCGCCTGTACAAAGACTTAGTCGAGGTGGTCTTCCCTGTGCCTTTGTATCGGTCTCTTTTCTGTGAGGGCCCGGGCCAGGATGTCCTTAAAAGAGTTAAACGGATGCCAGTAAGGCCAGCCGTGAAGTCTTTCTTTTTTCAGCTGCACACCGGCACGCTTCCCGTTAAGCCATGGCTTGAAAAAAAAGGCATTTTTGTTCCTTGGTCGATTAACTGCCTCTTGTGCCGGAAACCCGAGACTATCGATCATATTTTCTTGGATTGCTGGGATGCGATATTCCACTGGGACATTATGCAGCGTACTTTAAAAAAGAGTCTCCCAGTGTCATCCTATGGCATCCGTTTTCTTCCCGTAGAAAATGAAGGGGGCGTTCCCTACGACATGTTTATGGCCTTGGCCCTGCACAGCATGTGGAAATCGAGGATGGCTCCAGTTTACTTTTAACTTCTTTTATTTCCCTCGTAAAATTTCCGGGATTTGCACATTCAACGCTTAAAAGGAAATCTAATCGACACTGTAGCTCTTTTTCTTTTTGCTTTTCCTGGCGGCGTAAGATACACGATCTTTCAGTCGCGCTGATTTTGACTTCATCTTTGAAGCGCTCCCACAGTACAACAGAGTTTCCCGACTCAGCCTCCAGCAATTTCCCAATGCTTTGTTTTACCCCGTCCATAAAAATCTCATCTCTTAGTAGCTTATCATTAAATTTCCACAATTCCCAGTTTAACTGCGATTTTGTTTCTTTCGATCCGATTGAAAATATTACCAGACTATGATCACTGAAAGAAACGTGTTTCACTTCGTAATTCTCGCACAGGGGAACCAGGGCTGCGGAGATATACGCTCTGTCTAGCCTCGCGTGACTCTCGCGTTGGAAGTGTGTAAACTGGGGAAAATCTGCCTTCGACAAAACAAACCCGACGTCCTCTAAATTGCACTCCTGCACTAACGAGTTCAAAAATAAAGCACTCTGGTCCCGAAGCGGCAGCTGTCGCGCCCTGTCTTCTATTGCGCAGACGCAGTTAAAATCACCAAAAAAAATAACAAATCTTTCACAGTTCAGATAAGATTCAACGCGTTCAAAAAACATTCTCCTATCACTCTCCCGGTTTGGCGCATAAACGCAGATAGCTCGCCACTGCAACCCCGAAAAAGAAAAATCACAAACAATCAAGCGGCCTGATTCACAAACAATCACTGTTTCTTCCACAATTCCCAAAGAATTACGCAAAAAAAGAGCACAGCCCCCTGATGTACCAACGGAGTGGCACACACATACATTGTATCGCGATCTGAAAGGTTGCACCATGCGGTCCGTTTGCTCTGCGCCTTCCACCTTTGTCTCTTGGACAGCGACTACGTCAAGGTCGTTTTCCAGGAAAAGGCGGCTCAGCTGGTACTGCCGCCGCCTTGCTCCCAGGCCTCGCACGTTCAGCGTAGCGACGCGAAGCGCTGTCTCAAGGCTTACTGCCATCAAAAACTAGATCAAACGGGCCGCATGGTGCACAGCTCAAGTCGCTGAAAAACGACGACAGACTCACAGTCCCGGTGTGCCGCCCGGTGGGTCCGACGAGAGAGTTCGCCGAAAGTTCGGGCCACAAAGCGGCGGCACGAGGACATCGTCCCCTCAAAGTATTGTCGGTTTCCAGTCCGAGAAGAGGTGCCCAACAAAAAACGGGTTATCGCACCTACGGGGGTGGTGTCGCCGGTGGTCGCCTCTCCGGAGGGATGTTGGGCTTAGGCTTGGGGCTTGCCCGACGCACAGGAGTCGCTTTTCGGGGCGGCTCCTCGGGAAGGACCGCACTTACGATTAGACCTTCGTCGACGTCTTCGCGAGCCCGCTTGGCGACTGCGCCGCTGGAGCCTGCCTCCCCGACACTCATGGCTTCCGACTCCTCGCTGGGCGTCGCCGCCACAGCCGAAACTGCGGTCTCTGTGACACCTTTCGAAGCAGGGGTACCGTCCACAGGCAGCGCCTCAGGATGACGGCGTCGCTCACCGTCGTTCCCGCTGTCGGCTCTGTCCCCGGCGGAAAGCCCGGTGGGCGTCGCCTCTGTAGGAGGCTCGCCACCTTCGCCTCCGGCTGCTTCTTGGGACTCGACCACATCCATGAGTAGCTCGGACGTGTCTTCATTCCCCACGGGCCCCGTGACGCTAGCGTACGTCCTTATGCACTGGCTGTCTTCGTGGCCGAAGCGCCGACAGAGAGCACAACGCGGCACACGACACTCTCGACGAATGTGGCCTTTCCCTCGGCACCGAAGGCAGAGCGGCGCCCTGCCCGGTACAACCACGAGCGCCAGGTCCCCAGCGACGCGCAGCTGATGAGGGAGGGAGTCCACGGTGAGTCCGGCCTTGAGCCTGATGGACACCGAGCGCGTCGTGGACAACATGCCGGCGCACCCCTGGGCCCGCCACACGTCTCTGGCGACTTCCGTCACCTTTCCGTAGGGCGCCAAGGCCACTCGCACTTCGTCGTCCGGGACGTGGTGCAGCAGCCAGTGGAGCTTCAGCCGCGTGTCCTGGTTGCTTGGGTCGACAACGACGCACCGTCCTTCCTTGACTGTGAAATCCCCGGCGGCGAGCAGTTTTTTCTTGCCCTCGACACTCTTGAAGGTGACGGCCCAAACGTGGTTGTACTGGTACGCCCCCAAGGCGACCACCTCGGGGAGCAGCGCCAGGCCAACCAGGGCGTCACGAAAATGTTCCATACGGTATGGCCTCATGGTCACATCGGCGTGCAAAAAAGCAGTATTCAAAATGGTTGTACCTGTTGGAAGCGTTGGCAGGATAACTTGGTAGTCCTGTTCGGCAGAAGCCATGTTCCTGTTACCGCGGCCAGCGGCCGCTGAACCCGCTCCGACGGAGCTCATGCTCACACGTCCTTTCGCTTCGGCGGCCGGAAGTGGAATCTATACTAACGAGGAGAGACGGGAATAGCGGGACGGGAACTCTACCGCAACCTGGACTTTTCAATAAAGGAAAAAAAAAAAAATGTGGGGGTAAAAAAAAAAAAAAATTATGCTCCCCGTCGGGGAATCGAACCCCGGTCTCCCGCGTGACAGGCGGGGATACTGACCACTATACTAACGAGGAGAGACGGGAATAGCGGGACGGGAACTCTACCGCAACCTGGACTTTTCAATAAAGGAAAAAAAAAATGTGGGGGTAAAAAAAAAAAAAATTATGCTCCCCGTCGGGGAATCGAACCCCGGTCTCCCGCGTGACAGGCGGGGATACTGACCACTATACTAACGAGGATTTTTTTTTTCTTTATTCAGCGATTTAAAACAATAAAAACGACTACCCAGCACTTGTAGGCAGCCGTACAATTAAAATTCTTTCATTCTCATCACATCATCAAATAGGTTTGCCCATTCCGGCAAACTCTCACTGTATTCATAGACACTCTTCACCTGGGTTACCAGTTCAACCAAAAATGCTCTTGCCCCTTTTGGCGGGTGCTCGGCATGTCTGACCGACATGCGAGATTTCCAGAGACTGAATATTGCTAGCAGCATAAAAAGATCATAGGGAACATTATCTTCACGTTCAACAGCCAGAAAACGTATATTATAGGATGTTATGACTAATTCTTTCTTCAAAGTCCTCTTGAGAACATCCCATAGAAAAACAGCGTCCCAGCAGTACAAAAAGGAGTGCTCTACTGTTTCCGGGACTTTACATAGTGGGCAGTTAACGCCCCCAGGAACAGGCAAACCTCTTTCCCAAAGCCAGGTTTTTACCGGCAGCGTTTCAGAATGCAGGCGAAAGAAAAAAGATTTTGCGGATGGAGGTATTCTCATCTTCTTAACTCGACATAACACATCATTTCCAGGTCCGTTTTCATATAGTGAACGATAAACAGGTACAGGAAAAACACTTTCTAGTAAGTGTCGGTACAGGGTCCGCCTTTTAACGGTGGCCAAGTATTCCAAAGAGTACCGTACACTCAAAAAACGAAAGGCGGCAACTACTTCCTTAACAAACCCAACCATCTTTGCTGGGGAACCGATAACGGACGATACAAAAAATTCTGGCAAATGACTGGTAAGTTTCGTTTGAAACATGACTTGTAATAATGGGTGTCTCTGGTCTCTCATAAAAATAAAACGCGATACTAACTGCCTAAGAAACAAATGAGACAGCCCAAGACCGCCTTTGAGCGGACGAAGAAAAAGGTTATCTCGTCGCATCGGTTCTCCAGCACATTGCCAAATGAACAGCGCAAAAACTCTATGCATTTTTTGAATATTGCAGCGCGCACAGTATAGCACTTGCAAAACGTACCAAAGCTTCGCGGTTAAAAAAATATTACAAGCAGAAGCCCTGGTGAAAATAGACATGTTACGACCCCTCCATTTCCTCGTGCGTTCCTTCAAATCCTCTATCACACCTTCCCAGTAGGGCGAACTCTTTTCCATGTGATCCAGAGGAGCTCCCAGGTATCTACCCGGGGAACATGTCCAATGAATCCCCTCAAAAAAAACCGGCGCATCGCCCCCCTGCCCGTACCATATCCCGAGACATTTATTTTTGTTAATACTAGCACCTGTAGCATCACAGAAACTTTTGCACAAATCTAAAACTTTTGAAATGCTAGTCTTGTCCTGGCAGAAAAAAGCAACATCATCAGCATATGCCAGTACTTTCACTTCCACGTTCCCCATTGTGTACCCCTCAACGTGCTCGCTTCTGATAACACTTAGACAGAGCGGCTCAAGGTAGAGACAAAATAATAAAGAAGACATGGGACACCCCTGTCGCACAGAAGATAGGAGATTAATCATTTCTGACAAGGAATTGTTAATGACAAGACGCGTCGTACAACCTGAGTACGCCATCTTGACTCCTTCAAAAACAATGTTACCTACATTGGCTTTATTTAGAACCTCCCACAGCACCCGGTGGCATACTCTGTCAAACGCCTTTTCCAGGTCAATTTGAATCATCGCTACCTGGCTTCCCTCTGCTCGAGAGTTTTCGAGAATAGTCCTCGCGACATGAATGTTCGTTTGAATTGCCCTCCCTTTAATTCCACAGGTCTGATGGTCCCCAACTAACTGGCATATAACGTGCTGAAGTCGTCTCGCCAACACCTTCGCAAAGATCTTATAGTCTACGTTGCTCAACGCAATAGGACGGTAGCTCGATACCTTACGTCTCTGGGCTTCGTCTTTAGACTTGGGGATCAGTATCGTGTGCGATTGTAGGAACGAGGGCGGAAGCGCTTGACGTCGATAAGCCTCACGGATTACTTCGAAAAGGAAGACCGACAACTGGTCTCTGAAATGCTGATAGAATTCAGCGCAGAGGCCGTCTGGACCTGGCGTTTTATGAGCAGCGAGGCTCTCAATGGCTCGGTCAATCTCCGACTTTGTGATGGGTTGTTCCATCCAGTCCTTTGTTTCTGTGGATAGCTCAGGTGCTATCTGGAGAAGACCTTTCAAGGCGGCTGTTTCTTTCGGCTCACCTTTGTCTCCAAAGAGGTTCGTGTAATGTGCAACAAATGCTCTTTGAATGCCGTCTTTGTCCTTGCAGATGACGCCTTCATGGTCCAAAACGGTTATCTCTTTTGCCAGCGCAAAGCATCTTTCATCCGCCAGTGCTCGCTTTGTGGGCTGTTCGCCGAGCAAAAACTTCTCCGCCCTCGCCCGCACAACCGCACCGCGATACCGATTATTTTGAAAACGTTGCAATTCACGCTTAACTACCTTTATCTCTTCAGCGTATCTACCAGGGCACTCGCTATCGTCTTTGAGAAGCGCGAGCAAGTACTGCTGCAAACCATTTTCTTCTTTCTTTGATACGTAGTTGGCGATGGACGACTTTTCTATAGCTAACAATTTAACCTCCTCTTTAAATAATTCCCACTTCTCAGTGAAACTTAAGTATTTATTTTCGCCTAGTTTATCTAAAATATTAATCACTCCATCAGTAAAGCTTTTATCCTTGAGGAGGTTGACATTAAATTTCCAGAGACTCCAGCTAAATTTTCGTGACGATTTACTTTTTTTTCCAACCGTTACGCCTACGAGACAGTGATCGCTGAAAAACACAGGTTTGACAGAGTATGCCACTGTAATAGGGCCTAATTCCGCGGACACATATATGCGATCTAATCGCGCATGCGATGACTGCTGAAAGTGGGTGAAACGAAGTTCCTCACGTTCGACGTGCATATCCGCGACGTCGGTCAACAAATACTCATCCAAAATATCTCTTAACAAGGTACTACTACTATCGCTAGGCGATTTCGCTGATGCCCTATCTCGGACATTACATACACAATTAAAATCTCCTAAAAAAATCATATATTTTTCGCAATTAATATATTCTGTTATCTGACGAAAAAAAAGCTCTCTCTCACAGTTTCTGTTTGGGGCGTAAATACACAATACACGCCACTGCAAACCCCCCAGCAAAAAGTCACAAAAAATCAGGCGACCCCCACTATCTGTAGTGACCTTAAGGTCAGTAAGCGCAATACGCTTCGAAAGAAACAAAAAACATCCCGCGGATGTACCGACAGCATGGCTGACACACACTTCGTACGCACTTAAAAATGGTCTTAATGCGAGTGCAATTTGATCGTCCTCGTGCATTTTTGTTTCTTGGACGGCAAGGATATCGATATTTTCCTCGTTTAAAAGCCTTTGCACCTGGTATTGTTTTTTTCTAGAGTTAAACCCTCGCACATTCAATGTGGCGCAACGAAAGGGTTGGTAACGTTCAGGTGTCATTTAAGAAAAGGGCTTTTAAACGATCCTTCGCCAAAAGGAAAGGTTCACCCGTTTAAACCAGTTTTATAACTAAGCACATACGAAAGGGCCTGAGTGTCATTCACTCACAACGAGTCCTTGCGCTGGCGACCATCCGCGGGGATGCGGGGCTTGGGCGGTGCTCTTCGGTGCTTCTTGGGTCCCATGTGGTGCCAGGGCAGTTCGCCCCCGCCTTCGTCTTCGGGAGCGGTCTCGGCGAGAGCATCGTCCAGCTGCCGCTTGCCAGCCAGGATGGCTTCGGCATCCATGGCTTCCGTTCTGCTGTCGTCTTCCTGGGGCTGCTGGTCGTCCCCGGCGTTGGCCCCGGACGTTACCGGACTCTGCGTCGTCTGGGAGGAGGGCTGGGTGGTGCTAGCCGCATTTCTCCCAGACTCAGCGGTCGACGCTAGTGGTAGGCGTTGCACTCGGGTGGATGCCTCGACCCGAGTGGCCGGGCAGACGTCCGGGCTCGTGTCCTTGGGATCTGCGGTGGGGGGTGTGATTCCTCCGGCCGCGTCTTCCGCCTCCGCCTCGTCCATTTGCAGGTCGCTCGTATCGTCGTCCACCCGTTTTTGCGCTATGGTAGCGTAAGTGCGGACGCAGTCTGCACTCTCGTGGCCAAACCGGTGGCACTCCGTGCACCGAGGGACGTGGCAGTCTCTCCTGATGTGCCCCTTGCGTCGACAGCGGAGGCACAGAGGAGCTCGTCCGGGAACTAGCACGAGGACTTTGCACCCCTCGAGACGAATCTCATGAGGGATGTCATCCACCGTGACGCCGTCTCTCAGGGTCATCTGGACGACCCTCGTGTTGGTCTCGACGCCCTCGAAGCCTCTCTCGCGGAAGTGTTCCCGGCTGACGTCCGAGACCTTCCCGTAGCGCTCGAGTTCTCGACGTACCTGGCAACTGGACACGTCGTAAGGGACCCAGT